ATTCAAGCTAGTATCAAACTGGAGGAAGTATGTGCTGGTTTGAGCTCAGCTTTTGCACTGCTAACACTCATGCAAACTGGCTGGAGAATGGAGTCTGTGCTCACTTCACAACAGCACAAGGAAAGGTGTATAGCACTGCACTAAGAACGAAGTGCTGAAGACGCTGCCAGTGCTTGAATTGGCAGAACTCGCTTCTTGTGGAATGCTTCTTTTTGCTAAGGGGCTTTGAGGAGCAGAGCCGGGTTGCAGCAGAGCAAGTGAGGTCAGACTGCAGCTCTAGCAGCCCTAACACCTGCCTTCCCCGGGGCTGGTGGGAAGGGACCCCTGCTTGGCACCACCACATTTCGCTCTTTGTGCTTGCACGCTCCGTGGCCTCTCTTTCCATAGTGCCACCTAGTGCCGGCTCCGTTACTGGCTTGCTTTTTCCTACTGTGAGCATCTGCCCCACAGGACAGGCTGTGACCCAACACTCTCGCCTCACCAAAGCCAAACCCCAGCCATCATAGGAACAGCATATTTTTTAGAGGCAGCCCTATCTAACCAGCCCATTCCCTCGCTGCTGTACTTTAACTATTCAAGACACAGAGGCTGCTATGTATGGGGCAGAAGCTGTGCTTGTTTCCTTCCCACTCCATTGTAGATGTGGGGCCACCAGCAGCGTCTCACCGGCGTCATATCCACCCCAGTGACCACTCCAGCAGAGCAGCTCCCAGACTGAGCTGCCACCAGTATAGATAGGCAAAAAGCTTTCATGGGACATGGGGAAACAGGACACCTGAGCCATACAAACGTGGAAATGTGGAGTGGAAGTAAGCATTCCAAAATGCCACTTACCTCTTAAAGAGGACTGGATTGCTGCTGTCAGAACCAACTGCTAACTTGTAAGAGAAATAATAGCAAGAACACAGGCAACACTGTCAGAGCAAAAACTGTCCCAGACGAAAGCTTTTGCCTTTATTCACTCCTTACTGAAATTCTGAACAACCCATGTAAATCTGCTCAAGTTAAGACTGTACAAATATTACCACGATACTTTCAAACTTCGTGCACAGTTATGCACTGCTCTTTACCACGAGGAGCTGGGATTATTGGAATGGCCAGATGAATAAAAAGCCAATTTATTTTCCATAGATGATGCTGTTTGTTTACTTTCAGAATTTTCGTGGGCCACCCTCAAGCAATCAATGAAGTCAGTTTCACTTTGATTTGCCATCCTTTTCTCTCTGCAGCACGGACTGAACTTGCCGACTCTACAGAGGGAACAAGTTATTGTTTAAAAACAACTATTTCCAGTGCTTTATTTCATTTAAAAAAATCTTAAAAAACGTTTATAGGGCTTGGGTTTTCTGAAAGTTTTGCTAAAGAAAAAAAAACAAAACAAAACAAACCAAACCGATGAAGTAACCTGAAGTTAAATTTCAGTGTTTAATTTTCCATCAACATTTACAAATCTCTTTCAGGCGGAGCTCTTTACCACACAGATCACCCTGTAAAAGGGCCCTATAAAATGGGACAGGAGTGAAACCGGCTCAGATCTGTAAGGCCACAGCATGCCATCCATTTCTAAACAGAAGTCCTATTCAAACCGTGCTGCTAAAGACTCATATGGCCTGCAAAAACAAACGGGATTCTCTTGAAATGATTTAAATAACAATTTATGTAAGACCGTAATCTTTCTTGTATGGGATTTGTAAGTCATCCCACAGAAATCTGTAGTGGGGGACACTGTTCCCTATTTACATCAAAGTTTTATATAAATAATAATGCATTTTTCTAATTTTCTGCAGCTGTTTTCCCTTATGAATAAGCCGGGCCTATGAAGAAAATGTGAAAATAAGAGAACCATGAGCAATATTTACAATAATGATATATCCAACTCAGGAAATTGCTACAACTGCCTTTATCAAAATAAACAAACCCCGTATTTTTTCCTCCTGTAAGAGAAAAGCAAAATCCTCCATTATTAAAATTAATTTGGCTCGCTATTTGTTTGGTATTTGGATCTGACCGCCTTATTCCCCATTTTTGGCCTCATTTGGGGAAAAAAAAAAAGCAACAAACCAGCAAACCCACAACAAACAGCGGCCCAAACCGACACACAGCCCCAGCTGCCTCGCTCTGTCTCACAGGAGCACACACGCAGCCCCGCTCCAAACTGATTCTGGCCACAGGACACGGCGAGGCACAAAACCACCACTCTGGGGCACTACCTTGGTGTGGGGGTGCTGGATCACTGTCTGTTCTGCACCGCACAACGCACATCCAGAGCCAGGCAGTTCCAGGAGCACCGGCCCTGCAGACCACACCGTCCCGGGGCTTGGACTCGCTGGGTGCCAGCCCCAGCATCGCACGCTGGTTTGAAGTTTACTGAAGCATGCTGCAGCCTTTGCCATTGTGCCCAGTTTGCAGATGGACTTTGTGCCATCAAAAGGGCGAAGAGTTTTTTTTTGTTTTTTTTTTTTGTTTTTTTTTTTAAGAATAAGCCATTTCAAAGTAAATTGATTCCTTCTACTGAAAAAAGTTTTTAAGATTAAAGAGACTTTGCTGCATACAGAAAAACATTTCTCCTATTCCAACTCTTTCTACGCTCAAATGTTTCTTTCCCTGTAGGGGTGTTCTAAAATGCAGAGATATATCACAGTCATTCTAAAAGTTATTTGAAACATTAAGGTGAGGCTGGGCTTCTGCTAAAGGGTGAGACCCCCAGGGCCAGGATTGCTGCCCTCCAGTGGGATGCTGCCCACCTGCTCAAGTCCAGAAGACGCACCAGGAGCCCAAAAGCACTGCCATCCATCCAGGGAACATCCCCAGAGAACCCACAGTCACCCCTCCTGAGGCCACATCAGCTGTCCCTCTGCAGGTGACCACAGTGCCTTTGGGACCCCACGTCCCAGCTTCAGAGCTGGAGGTCTGAGCTCTGGGAGGAGAGGCAGTGCAAAGCCATGAGTGCACTGGAATTCTATCAACAAAGTATTAATGTAGAAGCCTGAGTGAAAAGCAGAAAAAGAAAAGAAAAAAAGAGAAAGAAAAAAAAAGGGGGGGGGGGGGGGGAAAAGCAATCAATGAATGCCATTCCTCAGCTAAGAGACAAGCCACCAGTTCTTGGCACAGTGATAGAGAAAACCTTGAAAAGTTTCGCTCAGGTTCTGGAATAAAGCTTTGGATAAAATGGAGCAAGTAGTTTGAGCGGTTGTCGTGCCAGTGAATAGATGTGCTGCTCTGGATTTCAATTAACTTAGTTTGTTCAGCGGGGAGGCACTTCAGCTGCAACCGGGGAGCTGCAAGTTAAAGGACAGCGAGAAAAACAGTGCAACAACAGCCACAAAAACCTGTTGGCAGCAGAAGTTTGCACTGGCTGCAAAAATAAATAAATAAATAAATAAAAGAGGGATTTTTAAGAAATATTTTTAAAGGATTTGAAGGTTTCGGAGGATCTCCGAAGCAGTCCCAGGTGGGTTGGGAATACTGCTCTATGCACTTCTTTGTGCTAAGAGGAAGGCCTAATGCATTTTTTTTTTTTTTTTAAGAAGTCTTGCTATTAAATAAATTATTTTCTCTTTAAAAAGGTGATTGTTGTTATGGAGAGACCTCCACCGATCAGCGTCCATTTTACATAATTACTTCGGGTTCTCCAGAACATTTTATGTAACTCACTTCCACGGCTGCCTCTGTCCTTTCTCCTCTCTCTCCGTCACCGGCAGAGCAGCAGCTCAGCCCTCCACCAGCACTGACAGGAGCTCACATAAAAGGACCATTTCGAATGGATCACTGTGAGCAGCCCTGAGAACCCACAGTAAATCTGGGCTCCAAAACTCGACAGTGCTCAGTGGCAGACGAAATGCATCATACATCCCTCCCCAACCACAAAAAAATAAAATAAAATACAATAAGGATTAATTCAGAGGAAAGCTTCGAGGTCTGAAATGACAAATAAGCAGGAATATTTGCTCAAATTTAAAAAAAAAAAAAAAAAAAAAGGTAAATAAATAGTTACTCGTGCTGGACAAAATGGCTTGATAGATTTCATAATTTGCCAAGCTGTAAAAAAATATCCCCTCCCTTCCCCCTGCCGTCCCTGCCGGCACGGACGGAAGCGCGGAGCAGAGGGTGGGGGGCAGCTGAGGATACCAACTCCCTCCGCCAAAGTTTGGGGTCCTTCCGAACCCGGCGATGCCTCCATAACGTGACATCAGCTCCGAGAGACAAAAGTTGCGATCTGCGTCTCCTTTCTGCCCAGGAAAGGAAACTGGAAAAATACTAATAATGAAAAATAGACGTTAAAAATACCCGAGAGGAAAAAGTCGATGTACGATCACCCGAATTAACCCCCTCCGCCCCCGCAGGCAAACAGACAAACAACAAAACCTCCGGATAAAGCCCTGTCAGGAGGAGTGGAACCTGCTTTCTCCGCTTTCTCTTTTCTGCTTTTATTTTAACGCATGACGAGCCTGGACTTCAAACTTATAGCCGACATATAGCCACACAACAAAGAGTCCCCGTTCACCCCCGTCGCCGGCGCTGCGGGCAGAAGTCGTCGGCAAATAGTAATAAAACCCATTTAGCGGTAAATAAGGAGGAGATGATATATGGACGGACAGATGGAAGTGCATAAACAGAGGAGGAAAGCGGCGAGCCGGGCGGGGAGGGCTGCTCACAGGAGTGCGAGATATTGATTTACTTGGAAGCGGTGTTGGAAAACAAACGCATTTGTTTCCTTCGCCATCGGGGAAAAAAAGAAAGAAAAAAAGAGAAAGTGATTAAAGTGAATCGCAGGGGGCACACCCTGAGATAAGTGGAGGGGGGAAGCACGTTTCCAGGGGTCAGGCCTCGGCGCGGTGGTCCCGGCCGCGGGCTGGCACTGGGCTCTGCCAAACTTGCATCTCCAAATTGAAGCCCGGGTGGGGGGCCGGAGAAAGAAGTGCCGCCGGGCGCAGCGGAGCGGGGCTCGGGCTTCCCCCCCCCGCCCCCCCTCGTTTTTTTCCAAAAGTTGGCTGGCCTACCTTGTTCCCCCGTCCTCAGTTTGCCTCCTCATAGCCTCCGTCTCCCCGGCACTACAGCGCGAGCGCTCCCGACCGCCTGCCTCCCTAATGAGTCCATTTTCCTGCTCTCGATGTTGTGTACACACACACGCGCTGCAACCTACCTTACAAAAACCACAGCGAGAGGGAGAGCGAGAGCGAGAGCGGGCGGGCAGAGGGAGCGGGAGCGGCGGCGGGGGGGAGCGGAGCCGGGCGCAGACAAAGCCCTCCTCCGGGGCGGCCGACGGCCCTCCTTCCCCGCTCGGCCGCCGCAGCAACAGGTTGGGCTCCGGGGCGGCCCCGCCGCACCTTCCTCCCCGCCGCCCGCCGGCTCCTCTCGCTGCGGGCAGGGAGGTGCGCGGCGGGGCCGGGCGCGGAGCTCGGCTCCCTAGACAATAGGGGACGGCGGGGCTCGGAGAGGAGGGACCCTGTAAACAATCGGACACCCCCTCCCCAAATACGTCCCCGCGTGGATCGAGAACCTTTTCCCCAGCATCTGTAATAGCGTGCTTATGTCTGAACAGGTGCAACGCATCCGGCGCGCGGTGTTCCGCGAGCAGACATCAGTCTCTCACGACGCTCTCCCAAACAGGCCAAGGGTAGTTAAAACAGAGGGCTGGCTTCGCACACGCTCTCCCCACTCCTCGTGTTCTTTGGATGGAGAAAGGCTGGGAGCAAGGTGTGCAGACAAAAGACCGGGGAGCCAACGCACGCAATCACTTGCTGCTACATCTTCATTCATTTTTACAATACACTCTCATATCTACACTGCTTTCAAAATAATTTTCACCCAGCCCTGCCTCTCGTCATGCGTAAACTTACGTTGTCACAGGAATTCTGTTGATTCTTACGATGAAAGTGGCAAAACAAGGTTTTGTGCCCGGACTTTGCCCTCGGACAAAGCTCCTCCAACAACTTCATCAGCAGGGAATTATTATTTTACTTGGAAAAACTGGGTCCAAGGGAAAAAAAAAAAAAAAAAAAAAAAGTTAAGTGATATTGCCATGGCTATGCTATGAATCATAGATTCACAGAATCACAGTTATAGAACCACAGAATGGTTGGGTTAAAAGGGACCTAGAAGCCCACCCAGCTCCAGTGCCATGCCGTGCCGTGGGCAGGGATGTCCCCCGCCAGCTCAGGCTGCCTTGGGCCCCATCCAACCTGGCCTTGAACGCCTCCAGGGATGTGGAAAATCAGTGGACAAACAAATGAGGATCCAAATCTCTTGATGCTTAACAGGGAATTTACCTCGAGTAACTCGCAGTCAACTAAAAGTTAAGCGTCCCGTCTGAAGCAGTTGTGTAGGCTCTCCCTGTTGCTGGTGGAGAGACAGGCACTTCTAAAAAGCCCTTCTGCCCAGCTCCCCATGCCCCTAAATGAAGAGGGAGCCTACAGAACATGGAGAGGTGAGGCAGTGATCTGGAGGATGGCTAAAATTAAGTAAAATGAATCTGTTTTTGATCCAAAGCTCTATTACAACATCCTACTTCCCCAAACGCATTTTTATTATCATATTTATTATTAGGCAATATATGCTTAAATTGTAGTGATCAAAAAGGGATAGCCTGCTTACTAAAAAGACAGGTAAACTCCCTAGATTCATGGATTTGTATCCTGAGGCTGGCCATATATTCATGATTCATGTGCAGGCTTTATAATGTTAACCAGCCTGGTGACTGGTGAATTCGATTAGTTTTGTTCACTGCTAGCTGCTACATTTTTGTATTTTGCTTAGGAACAGCCCATTTTCATATAGCTGTACAGTAAGCACAGAAAAAATGAAGCAATTTTTTTCAAATAGTTACTTTCTTTAACACCTTCATCAAAACACTGCCTTTCTTACCTTAGAATAAAATACAAAGAGCAAAAAGCTCTATTAGGTGACTTAGTTCAACTCCTTCAGTAAGATTTAGCTAAATGCACATATGGAGTACGTGGAAACAGCTCTACAAATTAAGTTACTTCAAATACAGCAAAACTTAGCCTCATTATATATTTGTTTGTCTGGAACTTATGACCACATTCACCTTATTGAAGGGTATGTAAGGTTAGGAAAGCAGAAGGTGCTCCAGGAGACTTTCTTTCTAATTGTGGGTCTCTATATAATTCGTTCTGGCTGTACACATGCCAAATGACCAATGATCACTCACTGCCTCAGTATTTCCATCTGTAAAATGAGCCCAACAATAGTTCCATGGGCAAGTAGCACCATAAACATACGAAGTGCTTTGTTTTCCAATCCCAGAGTTATATGATGGGGAATGTTATGGGAAGAATATAAATATTTTATCGAGAGTTGTCTGTATCAAAGCCAATTGATGAAAATCACAAGACACTGCTATTCAGTTTAAATAATATGAACAGTCTCTGAATTCCAATTCTAAAAATTAGGTTTACTCCAAAGCGAGGATATTATAAGAATGTCTTAGTACTCCAGAATTCTTACCACAAGCTAACGTTCATTCTTTGGGCTGCTCACCATCCCCTCATTTCCATCACTCTTCCTCTCAAGTATTGGTTGGTGCCAATGCACTTGTTTCACCTGCAGAAAGAGGGAAGAGTAAGTAGCTAGCCTGCATTTGGCCATGCACAGCACATGACGTGTGCTCAAGAACATGCCTGTCATACCACAGGGACAGCAGAGGTTGGGTTGTCTCTCGCTATACCTCAGGCCACCTGGTCTGCCCGAAAGATAACACTTGCTTTTCTTTCTCTGTAAACCTGTCTTTTCAGTTCAGAGCCCTAAGAACATGCTGATCTTCAAGAGCAAATGGAAAACAGGGAAAGTCAAACTGTCCTCCAGAACTGATACGGCTGTGCAAGTCTTTGTTGTACATGACAAGATTCTGGATGACAGACTGAGAGGGAAGGAATGTGCTTCAGTGCCAAATAACATGCTCTGTAGTGCCCTGTTCTCTCCTCTCCTTTTTATGTTCCCAGGCTCACCAGCTTGGTGAGTTTAGACAAATCTTATAGGCAACCACAACTGGAAGAGGTGTCGTACAACCACACCTGAGGCTATGATCTGCTTCATTTGAAAGAATTTGGCCTTTCAGCAGCTTCATAAACGCTGGTTTTCAAATTCTACAGACATTTAAGCAAGACTGACACAATGAACCTGAACCAAGCTCATTCTTGCGATGGGTTAACACATTATTTTTTACCTACTCCACTTATCTGCCCCGTAACAGTTTCATCACCACCTTCAGGGACTCTGCTTTACTAGAATACCAAGAATTGTTCTTATAAACCAGCTTGTAGCTTCCAGCTGATCCAGAAAGAGCAGATCAGAAACACAGTTTGAGGTTCTTAGTGATCTTAGAGATATTATAGATATTACAGATATTATAGATATTATAGATAGGTTGTTAGACTGATTCCAAGTGAAAACACCTGATCCCATGTATTGCAATAACCTACATGGGTCTGAGGCTGAATGTAAGGATACCATACTAGTGTTAAAAATTCCAGATAAATTTCTGTTGCAGCTCTTTGCCAGATACTGTGGGCAAGACCTTGAAACACTCATGCCAACATATCTGAACTGGATTTCCTCCATGTAGTCTCCTTCAGAACACGTTCATATCCTCCAGATTCCCCTGCTATACACACAATCACATTGCCAGTCCAATAGGAATGGTGATTTAGTTTTCTCTGCTCATGTTCTGCGGTGTCTTTACAACTATGTTCAAATGTAACAAGAAAGATGCCAATTAAAAAAGCACAAGAGCCCTGCAGCTTGGCAGGCTGATTCAAATTAGGTACCTGTATGAAGTGATTAAAATAGGTTTTCTAAATCTGAAGATAACAGGAGGACAGCGTGTTTGATTTACATCAGCAGGGGTCAACAAAAATGTAGAAGAACCATGCGGATGCTCTTTACCCCTGCACATTTACTGGTGAAGATGCTGAAGACAGAAGGAGAGGAATACTGCGCTCTCCTGGAGTTTTTCAATACTCAAAGAATCTCAACTGTTTCCCCAGCTCAGCAGTCATTCCTTACTGCCAGAACTCCAAATAAGCAACATTTTCCTTTAATTTAGCAGCTTTGATCCATGATTCCACAGTCCTTTTGCACACACCTATCAACAAATCAAATCTCACAATTTCCTTTGGTAAAAAGCTACTGCTATTCTCATTGTACAAATAGTAAAAGCTAAATGGAAAGAGTTAACCATTCTGCTGAAAACAAACGTGAGACTGGGATGTCAGACTTTCCTGGTCAGTTCAGGCTATGTTGCCTTTATAGATCAGGCTCTCAGACAGCCCAATTGATTGGCAAGGCTGGGGCACATTTGCTGAACAAGAACTGGCTTTTCTATTGTTTTTGTTTGTTTTGTTTTGTTTTGTTTGTAATCCAGGAATGTGGTGAATAATAGATCAGATGCAAAGCTGATACGTCTCCAACTGTTTCAATGGCTTTGTGAAAATCTGCCTCCAAGTCACGATGTACCATAAATGCCCACTTTCTTTTATGATGACACTATCAGCATGTTGGCAAAGGAACAGTGACTGTGCCTTTATAGCATTTGGGCCACCTTGCATAAAAGCTGCAAAATGATGCTTAGCTTGTACAGTCATTCCACATCAGATGCAATAGTGCTGCATTACTTCAGTACTGTGTGGAGTAATTATAGCTGCTACATCAGTGAGCTGTGATAGTGAGATCTACGCAGCCTAAGAAATTCTGTCCAAACACAGACTATTCCTTGCTCTTTATACTACAGGGACTAAGAATCCTAATAAAACAGAGTCCAGAAGATCGATATCAGACCACAGTGCCATTCTGCAATAAAAAGAACAAAAATCCATAGCAGTCTTCAAACTCCCATGTACTCCATCTCCCTGCACAAGTTCGTACGCATACTTGAGATATCACATGTGAACTTTATATTTTGAATGTATGGATTACGTTGTAATTATTCAACATATAACAACCTGTAGCTAAGCAGGCAGCCTCCGATCCATCTGTATTTGTCCTCTCCATTTACAGAGTGCTGGGATATCAACTTTATTTGCATCAGCAGGCAATTTGTGACCAATTTAGCTGTTGAGCTAATGTGTAAGGCCCTCATCCAAGCCATGGAGTTACAATGGAAGCGGATCCTGTTACATA